AAATCTTTCCCACAATCATCTTCAAGGATGCATCCCTCAACGACCTCAATTTCTCACTTTTGAAAGCAATTTATATGAAGGGAATAATAGATTACATGGATTTCCTATTTCAAAAAATTGTGGAGATGCTAGGGCTTTAAATAAAAATAATGGATTACAAGATGATGAAGAAAGTGATTCTGATTTTAAGAGTGATTTTTGGAAAGCTGATTTTTTGGGCTATGGAAGTGGACTATGTATTGGATTATCCATAATATATCTCATGATTTCATCTGGAAACCCGAAATGGCTTGCAAGAATCATTGTAGAGATGGAGAACAAAATAATGATGGTAAGGAGAAAGAAGTAGTGAAGGCCAAGAAACTATAGCAGAAGAAATATTTTGAACCAAGAATAGTCAGATAAAGTTGGGGTGGGATTGAAGTTATCAAAGATGCATCTGCTGTGAAAATGATAATATTTTGTAAACATGAAATTGATTTATGATAAATTATTTTCTAATGAGATCCGGTGGGTTAGTGCTGGTATGACCATATCCGATTTATGATTTGATATGAAAGTTGCAGTCCTTACATGACTTTTCAACTTTCCTCTCTAATTTAATTCAATATGAAAATTCGTAGTGAAAGAAAGTTGTTTGTTTAAGTAAGTAAACAAACAATTATAGGAGTTATAGATGCTCCAAATTTAGAAGCACTCGAGTATGAGGGATATTTTAATTTACTCCGCAGAAAATTGAAGAACTTCATTTTCGATTGTTGCATGTGTGATTTGGATGCTATGTGGTTTTGTCAGTTAAGGAATATTCTATAAAGTTCAATCTCTTGGTCTCAAGTTTCACTTCTGATACAATATGTGCGTCCACAATCAGTCAATGGACCAGGTCCCTTGAAACAACAAAAATAGTGCAGAAGAGTAAATAATACAGAAAAACCCAACACATGCAGTTTACGAGGAAACCTCCTTGCTCAAGGGAGTAAAACCACAACCAATTGCACAGGATTTTCAGCTGTCTTTACTAATCTTCACAAGCAAAAGTGAAACCCGGTTACAACAATGTGAGAAGAAATTATTAATCTTACGACCAAATAATAACCCTATTGCTTGAAGAGTCTTAGCAAATGACACTCTGCCCACTAAGCTATCACCATTAGACAACTTAGGAATCAACTAAGTAACATGCAGGTTGCCACTAAATCACCACGCTCCGAATGACTTAGACTTAGCTAAGCGGATACCACACGGCCCACTAAACCACCTAATCGGACTTTCCTAGATCATCCTTTACATTGTTCAATATAAAACATTTGCACCCAGAAGCTCTTTGACACATGCATCACACACTTTATAGTCATTGAACTTCTATTTTGGCAAATCACGGACCAGGTCCTAAAAACTAGCTTATTCAATAAAGACGAGCTCACATGACCTAGCCTCCAATGCCATAAGTCAGCATTTTCACTTTGAGAACTAAGGCATGTTATCGTCTACATGAGATGTTTCTAGGTCCGCCACTACATGTTTTTCCACCTTCATGCTATCAGGATCATCTTCTTGGTAGATATCTAGTGACAAAGCACTTTTTTGAGGTAACTTGACTTCGTTTCCCTTATTATATATCGGGGAAACACAGAGAAGACTATACTTTAACTCGCTCACATAATAAAGATTTTCAAGGAAGTCTTCGAGAGATTATCCAACCCTATTACCACCAAGGATATACCCTTTTATTCATCGACAAAAGAGACACCTCTCTCTTGAAGTGCCTTGAGTGAAAGTAAGTTTTTAATGTTCCCAATCATGTGCTTCAAGCATCCACTGTCCATAGATCAGCACTGACTGCTACTTCCTTCACTCCTCTATAACAAATATCACTTGTTAGACTTAGGAACCCATTTTAACATGAGTTCCCAGTAAGTAGATAGAGGTGTAACAAGAGTGTTTCTTGCCCAGTGAGGCAGGTTGGTCCTTTTCCTGTTCAAAGACTTGGGAACAAGAACAGGTCCCCCTTTCAGTCCCTTTTTCTGTCTGGAATAGACTGAAAACTTTTCTTGTGACTTTTTCTAGGCAAGACAATCCCTTTTCAAGTGATCATATCTTCCACACTTTAGATGCAGTAAATTATCTGACACAGACACAGTTTACTGTGAGGGTTGTGGAAAGGAGTAATGTCCACCTAAACATTTTTTGTTGTAGCTGTTTTGACTGGTAATGTTAAAGAGAATTTTAGAGGATTTGGTCTATTTAAGAGAAGTATTGAGTTCTTCCTTAAGAAGGAACATGTCCTTCTCCAGCTGATAGTTTCTTTCCAAAGCTAGAGAAAGTCTGGTCTCAACAGTGTTTAAACTTACTTCTACCTCTGCCTGCAAACTGGTTAACTCCCCCTTTCTTTTCCCTGACTTCTCAATCATTAAGTTCAATTGATATATGATTTCTAGTTTTCGGATTTAAGAACTACCAATTGTTCCTCAATGACCGACATTTGCACAATCATCATAACCTTTTCTTCACTTAGACTATCAAGGCTACTGTTCATAGAGTCTTTTTCGGTAGTTAACTCTTTAACAAAGTCAATGAAAATATTGGCTAGTTTTCTCAATCTTCTAACAAAAAGAGTATACAAGTTTTTCTTAATGTCAAGAAGAGTTACCCCATCTTCATCATTCTCATCATCTGATTTGGCCATGAGGGAAAACATTCCATCAAATATGTTAGCCTCATTTTGAATAACCAACATGGATGCGTCATCAGGACACTCTGATTCATCTGAATCACTTCAGGAGTCTTTGCAGAAAGCAAGATCTTTCTTCACAATATAGCTAGCTGTAACTTTTCTTGCTTTCTTATTGGGGATTGGGTCCCTTTTTCTGCCTTTCTCTCTTCCAGGCCTTCGATAGTTTTTGGCTTCAACCTTATTCTTTGGGCAATCTTTGATGAAATGACCTGGCTTTCCCTACTTGTGGCACAGGTAATTTACATTTGTAGCTCTGTTGCCTTTCATAAACCTCTATGTTTCCTCTCCAATTTTGGTACCTTCTCGTGAGGCATGTCATGTCCTTATGATCTTCATCAAGAGTTTCACCAGATATCATCTTGATAACTAAAGACTTCTCTTTCTTCAACTCCTTCTTTGACGCTTCTTGATTTCTGTTTAGTGGAGCAACCATCTTTCCACAAGAATCTCTCTTGGTGTTAATTAGCTAGAGAGCGCCCTCCCTGATACCAATTGATAGAATATGTGTGTCCATTATTAGTCAATACACCAGGTCTCTTGAAACATCAAGTACAGTGCAGAAGAGTAAACAATACAGAGAACACAACACAGACAGTTTACATGGAAACCTCTTTGCTCAATGGAGTAAAACCACAACGTGTTGCACATGATTTTCAACTGTCTTCATTGATCTTTACAAGTAAAAGTGAAACCAAGTTATAACAATGTGAGAAGAAGTTATTAATCTCACGACCAAGCAATAACCCTATAGTGCTTGAAGAGCCTAAGCAGATGATACTCTGGCCACTAAGCTATCACCACTAGACAACTTATGATTCAACTAAGCAACAAGCAGGTTGTCCACTAAATCACCATGCTCCGGATGACTTAGACTTTGCTAAGCGGATACTACACCACCCACTAAACCACCTAGCTCTAGATGACTTAGAATTTGACTAAGCAACAAAACAATGTTTCCCACTAAATTAGTTAACCCTAATTGATTTAGACTTTTACAAACTCGAAACAAATATATAAATCCTTTATAGATTAGAAACAAATTTACAATGTAACCACGAAAGATATAATCCTAAGACAACTAGATAGCTTGCAGCTCTATCAAATCCCGGTTGCTCTTAGGATAATACTTCTTGAAGATGACCTAAAATCCAAAACTTTGTTTGCCAAAACTGGAGTTTGTGTATTTTTGAAACAGATTATATAAACCAACACAAACTCGTTAAGAAAACCCTGTTGGCTGAAAGTCTGTAGTTCAGAAAAGTTGCTCACCTACCAAATTAGAGGTGACAGCTTTTCTGACGGCTATCTTGTCACCTTTTCATATCGCAGTCTTGTAAGAACTAGGTCCCTTGCAAACTTTTTTGTGAGTTCTTGAAAAGGCTTGCTGGCTGACTTCCTTTTTTTGGATGAATGAATTTAATATGGTGTTTGTCATGTAGAAAATATCATCCATAAAGAAGTGTGTTTGGTATGAAGGAAAACATTTTCTGGAAAATATTTTCCAATTTTCCCATGTTTGGTTGGGACAAAAGTTTTGGAAAATGTTTTCCAAATCAACTCATTTTCCTCAAAATTAAGGAAAATGACTTCCCTTCAAAAATTAAGGAAAACATTTTCCAAAACTCTCCTCCAATTTCAAATTACATTTTTTTTGGGGAAAAACATCAATTTTTAAAAAAAATATTTTTAATTTCAAAATTTTATTTTTTCACCCAATCCCTGACCTCCCCCCCCCATCCACCCACCCACCAACCCCAACCCCTCCCCAAAATATTAATTTTACTTTTTAAAAATATTTTCAATTTCAAAATTTTATTTTTAAAACTCCTACCCCCGCCCCTCCTCCCTCCCACCAAGCCCCCAAAAAATTAATTTTGTTTTTTAAAAATACTATCAACTTTAAATTTTTATTTTTTCACTCCTCCCCCCGCCACCACGCACTACCCCCACCCCACCCCAAAAGAATAATAATTTTGATTTTAAAAAATATTTTCAATTTCATAAATTATTTTCCTCTAGTAAAAATAAAAGATGTCTCTAAAAAATATTTTTCATTTATAAATCAAACACTAAAAATCATTTCCGAAAAATATTTTTTAGTCACCAACCAAACATGAGAAAATAAGTCCAAAATCTACTTGTTTTTCTGGAAAACAATTTCTTGGAGAACATTTTCCATGGAAAACATTTTCCTCCATACCAAACACACCCACAGAGTTATTACCCGTTCGACAAACCCTCCTCCATTCTAATTGGTGTAGTACGTTCACGTCTCACCAACTTCTGACATGACAACTTTACAACCGTACCTCATTTGTATCTGGATATCTGGACGAGAGCACTCTGCTAGGGACAAGGTACCCGCATTTGTGAGATCAAAACACCTAAAATATAACTTCATATTTCCAAATGCAATGAGATCAAAAGGAAGCAATTGAAACAACACCATAGAGTTGCTACCCCCAAGTGGACATTTTAGATGAAGAATTTGAGTCATTCTACTTCTCATGGAAGCAAGCCTCGGCTTAGTCAATTAAACATCAAAACTGAGTCTCTTTGCCTCACACAGAAAGAGAGAGCCTAAGGTTACTGAACAAATCACCAGCATTCTAGTGTCACTGAGACATCCAATGCTTTGTCCAATAAGCAAGACACTTGTATAAAATCCAGGAGTAAGACGACTAATAGCTCAATCCGATCACAAACAACTGTACCCTTAAAATCATCCACAGAGACAAATGATGGAAGCAATAGCACTGCACTTGAATGTTCTCAGACATAACTAGTTGCTCAACCACCTTTTGCTGTTAAGGAAACACAAGGTCAGACAAGTACAAGAAATTGACTCAATACATCCTAGGCGGGCAAGTTGAGTCGTTGAACAACTTACCACCCCAGCAAAACCCGGCTGCTTCAGTTGCAGATATGCCTTTACCTTTTAAAGCAGTGATAATCTTCTTTGCATCTTCAAATCCTTTATCCTAACAGAATAAAGGAAATCCTTGTAAAGTCAAATTCATCTAAGTTTTCGATGCTGCGAAAAGCTAAATTTATTGGCTGATTATATTCGGATATTACTTATGTACAGTTAAAAAATTACTTATGCACATTAGATGTTAATATTTCTCTGGTTCTGTTTGACAGAGTCACAAAGCTGTACTTTGTCGAAATTTTTAATACTTTTGTGACCTTAAGAATGCCCGTTGTAAAGAGCAAGTTCCTTTTGACGGAAACCAAGTAACTCCATGTTACTACTTTTCTCATGCTTTATTCTGCATCAAAAGGCGCAAGATGTATGAACTCTATGCACTCTGCCTCTGCTTTTGGTGCAGTCGACAAAGACTCTAAGAAATTGTCAAATTTAAAACATCCATGACCAACACAGAACTATTAATAGAAAGAATGAATTTAAAATAAGAAATTAATTTCTGAAAACAATACCATATAGTTGTAACAAGAACATGGCTTGTAGCTGCGATAAATCGCTCTAGATATCCTGTGTCAAAAACATTAGATGCACATTAGATGCCTATAGCTATGTATCTCAAGTGATTTTCACATAAGAGTTTGTTTCTACTTACTTTCACAATGAGGTCAATTATGTCGCTTCCTCCGATAGCTTCGGCTTCTTCCTTAATTTTCAAAGCTGAAGCCTTCAGAGATTTGTTCTTGCACTGAACCAACTTAATTTGTTTCAGTGTTTGAATATCTGCAAAGCTAAGTGGGATCTCCTCGAGCTCATGACCTTTTTTTATAACAAGCCTTTCAAGCAGGGGAAAAGATTCCTCAGAGGCATCCCATCTTGAGATGTTTAAACACTCCAATTTCAACAACTTAAGTTTATGGAACGTGACATCTCCGAGGCACCACTCTTTTAATTGAATAAAAGTTGGAAGCACTAATTGGAGATACTCAAGACTTGGTAGTCCCCCAATGGAAGAAACTATGCTTTCTATACGAGTCCCACGCAGTACTAACTTTTTTATATGTAAAGGCAAGCGTAACTTGGATACATTTAACTGGAACGAGTCAATGGAAAGGCGAAGTATTTGAAGCTGGGTAAGACTTTCCAATTGACAAATCTCTACAGAATCTTCATCGCACAAGATGCCGATTTCAAGTTCTTGAAGATTAGGACACCTCCGTAGTAATACATCGACATTATCATCAGCACCAATTTTAATTGCAACTTGCTTTAATATCCTCAAATTTTCCAATTTAGAGGATTCTTCTGATATCCATTTCTTGTTGTTTTTCAAATCAAAAACAACATCATTAATCTCAACATGCCTTAATGTTTTCATTTTCCAAAAAATCGGTGGTAAGACTGTACGGCTGAATGGACACAACACAATTAATGTTTCTATATGGGGAAGATGTGATTCGGGATGAAAATTGAATTTCCTTGCAGAAACTGCTAAGTACTTCAGGTGAATTAGTGCTTGCAATGCAGCTGACGACAACCGACCCACTCTATGGGAACTCAAATTCAAAACCTTAAGAAGTCTCAATTTACTAAACTGTCTGAATGCACTCCAATTAGAAACTTCACCTTTGATTAGTGTCATTCTTAGTGACCTCAAGTGTTGATGGAAGGGCTTCCGCGTTTTGGATGCAATCTCAGAAAGTCCATCACTGAAACTGAAACTCACTCGACTTTCCTTCCAATCGGAAAGTCTGAAGTTGCTATAATTCCCCTTCACAGCCAACATAAACTTTTCTTCTCTACTCCTCTCCAAGCAGAAGTGAAGTACTATATCATGAACCTGAGAGTATTTGACTTTACCATTATATCTTCCTCCCTTTGAAACCATTATCACGTTACTGCTAATAAGATCCATCAAGTAACCTTCAGCTGCTTCCTCCAATCTTCCAGATTCAACATCTTGCACGAAACCTTCCGCAATCCATAAATTTATCAAATTAGATGCTGAAATGTTGTGGTCCTCTGGAAACATCCCCATGTAAAGAAGGCAAGGCTTTAAATAATCGGGTAAGTTATCATAACTTAAGTGCACAGTCCCCCGGCTATACTCTTCAGACTCACCAAGATAGGAATATATAGCATCTTTAACCTCATGCCACCATGATTCTTCCATCTTCTTTTTTATTATTCCAGCTACCAAGATGACCACAAGGGGCAATCCTTTGCATCTTTTTGCAACTTCTAGACTCACATCGTACAGTTCAGACAGGCAAGATTTATTTTGAAACACCTTTTTCTGCAACAATTCCCAACTCTCTTTTAGTGTGAGAAATGGAAGGAAATAAGGATTGGTATGGTGCTTGACATACTCACCTACTTTCTCAAGTCGAGTTGTCACTGTTA